TAATAGTTTAAGTGGAAATCAAATCTTCCATAAACAATGATTGATAATTTGAACAATAGTGCTTAATATACATTAAGGGTCACATTTTGGATACAGAGCAGTAGGAGGTTATATATAAATTCTAACCACTTTCCAAATAAGCTACAAATAGGGAACCATCAATGGAATAATCCAACATCATAATAAACCAGTAATCCTCTTTCCCAACTGTGCTCACCTGGGTACTTGGTTCCGCATCAGCATCGCCTGGAGGGCCACAGGGCGGTGGGGGGGGGGGGTGTTGCCATAGTCTATATTCATTCTCCCTTTCCAGTTTTCCTGTCTCTTCAGGGATGAATGTTTGCATTGTGTGTTGAGCTCTTGAGAAAGACTAGGGATCCCACTAGTGTGCCACCCACGTTGCTACCCAGCAGTCTCCCTGCCTGAGCTGACCGAGATGGTCTTGGACCTGGTGTTGAGGATGTTGATTCTAGAGGACTTCAACATCTCCATGCTGAGGCTGTTCTATCCAGAGCAGCTCAGGACTTCACGGCCAGCGTGAGGCTGTCTCAACATGTTACTAGCTCAACATATGAAAAGGGTCACACTCTTGACCTGGTTTTTTCAATGGAACAGGAGGATAGTAGCTCAAATGTGGAGGGGTTACTGTTAACCCCATTGTCATGGTTGGACCACTTCCTGGTTTGGCTTAGATTTTGACCCCTTTCCCCCTCTGCAAAGATGGGGGTCCAATTAAAATGGTCCACTGCCAGAGTCTAATGTACCTGGAAGTTTTCTAGAGGGTTCCAGGGGTCTGTTTAGCTGCTATCGTTGGCACTCCCGTTGAAGCTCAGGTTGCATTATGGAATATGGAGGCAACCCGGGTGGTTGACATGAATGCACATAAGCGCCCTTTCCCCTCTCACTGAGTTCCATCAGCCCCTTGGTACACACCACAAGTTAGGGCAATGAAGTGAGAAGAAAGAAGGCTAGAGTGCAGATGGAGGAAATCTCATGATGAATCCAATCAAACATGGCTTAGTGCTCATTATCGAGGCTATTCCACGAAAAAGAAGAGGGCAAAATGGCAATATTTTGCCTCCTCCATTGCATCTTCCCAGTACCATCCGACTGAGCTTTTTGAGGGCTGTTACATTGTGGCCCATTGGTAGAAATTATTGAATCCTTGATAGCTCTTTGTGATGAATTTGCTCAACACTTCAAAGATCTGTCATGAATTGGACTCCACAACTGAGCTAGATCCTATAAGAGATGTGTCCAGTGCACCATTCTTTGGTTGCATTTTGTTCGATGAATTTTAGGTTTTGTGATCTGATGTGGACAAGGTGCTTGGTGCTGTTAGTCCCACTTCTTGCCCACTTGATCCTTGCTCTTCATGGCTAAATGGAAAATCTAAGGAGGTTGTCCTATAAGGAGGATGGATTGCACCTGGGTCTAGGAGGCTGTCCACACCTCATTAAGAGAGAGAGTGTTTCCTGCTTCTCTAATGGAGGTTGTAATAAGACCACTTCTTAAAAAGCCAAACCTGGACCCAGGGGTTTTACCATCTATAGATCAGTGGCAAAACTCCCTCTTCTGGGCAAGGTATTAGAATTGGTGGTGGCTGAGGAGCTTCAGGCACTTCTGGATAAAACTGATTATCTGGATCCATTTCAATTGGGTTTCAGGCCTGGGTCTGAGAGGAACACTGCCTTGGTTGCCCTGTGGGATGACCTTTGCTGGGAGAGAGAGAGGGGGCGTGCATGACCCTGTTGGTTCTCCTGGACCTCTCAGCAGCTTTTGACACCATTGACCATGATATCCTTCTGGACAGGTTGGCTGGGTTGGGGGTTGGAGGCACTGCTTTGTTCTACGCCTGCCAAGCCAACTGGGTCCAGATAGTGGTGCTGGAGGCCCGCTGCTCTGCACCATGGCGGTTATGCCCATGGGGTCCTACAGGGCTCTATACTGTCCCCCATGCTCTTTAACATCTACATAAACTGCTGGGAGAGGTCATCCAGAGGTTTGGGCTGGAATCACAGCAATATGCTGATGATACTTAGTTCTGCTTCCTTTCACAGCAAATCCAGGTGAGGTGATGTCTGTCCTGAACTAGTTCCTGCGCTTGATAATGGGCTGGATGAGGGCCAATAAACTGAGGCTCTATCCAGAGTAGACAGAAGTACTGTTGGTAGGCAGTCAGTTGGTCAGATGGGTTGAATGGCCTACACCCTTTCCTGTGGACAGGGTCCACAGTTTGGGGGTGCTCCTGGATCCAAAACCCTCACTTATGTCTCAGGTGGAGTCAGGTGGCAAAGAGCACCTTCTTCCAACTGTGGCTTATTTACCAATTGGGGCCAGCTCCCAACAGATAGAGCCTAGCCTGTCAGGATCAGGGCCTGAGTGACCCCGCAGAACCAGGAGCACCCTTGCATGTTCTTGCAGGGAGCAACTGAAGAGCAATTATGCAGTGCAGCTGGAGGTCCCGAAGAGCAGCATAAAAGGCTTTCTGGCACTGCGGTTCTTTGCCATAGCAATGCAAGTTGTCTTGGGGGCTTCTTATGCTCTGGCCCCTGCATCTCTGAGTCTTGTTCCTGCCTTACTCCACTCTGCTCCTGCTTGCTCCAGGTGCTCCTGCCTTGCTCTGGTTGGTCTCTGCCTTGTACCCGTCTGTTCCTGCCTTGCTCCTCTTTGATCCTGCATGACCTAGTCTGTTCCAGTCCTGCTCCTGTGCGTTCTTGTTTGCTTCAGTTGTTCCTGCCCTGCTCTAGCCCCCTCTTGTCTGGACCTCCTTTATGTGACTGCTTCCCTGACATCAGACCACTGGACTGTTTCTGGAATGTGCTCTCTCTCTCACTTGTATAATATTGAACTGCCTGCTACCTTGACCCTGACCCTGGACTGCTGACCATGCCACCAGCCTCTAGCCCTAATAAGCTGCAGGACCTGGCTTCACACAGCACCCTAGTCCTGGTGTTCTGCCTGTCCCAGCTGCTACCCACGTCCCAGCCCTTACACAGCCACAGTTACGTATGCCCGGTAACATCCCAACTGGGTAATTGTAATGTGCTTTATATGGATCTGCTTCTGAAGACAGTTTGGACACTCCAACTAGTTCAAAATAGGTTTGCATGATTGCTAACAAAAACTAGTCTGCCAACCAATCAACTGCACCGTATACCAACTGCACTGGCTACCAGTGAAAGTCTCGGCCCAATTTTAAGTGTTTGTACTTACATATAAAGCCCTAAATAGCTTGGGACCTGGGTACCGACAGGAGCAGATGATCCTGTATGCCCCTATCCATCCATTAGGAATGGGCCAGGAAGTCCTTCTTGGGGAATCTCGCCTGTTCTCTGGTTATCTTAACAATGGATTTTAATGGCTATCTGGTTTTAAAACTGACCCTATGTTTTGTTTTAGCCAATTTTAGTTTACATTGTTTTATTTAATGTTCTATCTTATAATTTAATTATGATATATTATCTTTTATGTTTGTACTATATTGTTGATATGTTTTAATATGCTGATTTAATGTTATTGATTTTAGAATGCTGTGTGGTTTATATATTGTGCTCCCAATATGGGCTACTGTAGTGGCAAATAAACTCATCAATTAAACAAATAAATAAACATCACCTCATAATTGTCAACACCAATATAGTTCAGATTTAAATTGTTCCTCCATGCATGTTCACTAGACTCCAGAGAAGAGTTTCAAATTCTTGGACAAGATTCCCAGAAATGGATTTCCCAGAAATGGTAGCTGTGCACATCAGATATAGCTGGTGTGCTGGGTATGGGGGAAATGTGACATGATGTTCACTAAACTGATCTAGTTGCATAGAATTCAACACCATGTGGTGTTGGACAGGCCACCTCCGTGGGAATGGCAGAGGCAGCTCCTTGCATTGGTCCAAGCAGATCCCTGAACCATTGTCCAAATGATCGTTGTATTAATTGTTCCATTGGCAATTACTTCAGGCTTTCCTGTTCATGGGATTCAGTTGCACCTTTCCTCCGCAGAACTCACAGGCAGTGCTCTGAACTAGGACTTTCTCCGTAATGCAGGGTCTGTCTGCTGGACTGCAGCTAGCCTGTCATTCAACTGACAGTCACTAGCGCTAGGGCCACAGTTACTGTGTCCTCTGCTGACAGTCTCGTAAGCTTTACTGGGGGCTATGCAGTGAGTCCAGGCGTTGGAAACAGCACTGGTGCTATTTATTTGTGCTCTGCTCACAGTTCCATCTTCAGATGACAACTTTGGTTCATGGTTAGCAGGTGCGTGCTAGGAAAACCTGCAGCATAACACATGCAACACGCTTGCTGTATTGTGTGAAGCTGGCCTTAGGTTTTGCTGTTGTGCTGCAACAGCCTTGGAGATGGGACTCCAACCTTCACTTGAGATGACAAGTTCAGAGACAGAAAGCTAACATGCATGCTATGTTAAATGCGTAATCTGCAGCTGATCCTAGCCTTATTTTTTACTTTAGTGTAAGTATGTGCATGCCCAATTCAGATCAGTACAGTTGGCATGTATTAAATAAACCTACCCAACCACAGTCCATTTAATTACATTGTATCTTACACATTCAGCACCTCCACTCCGGCCATGTCGTGGCTAAAAGGAAAAACACCCCACTCCACTGGCACTGGTTATCATGACATCTAGTTCATCCTTTTGCAAAACAAAATCACCCGGGCTGATTTCATTTGGTGGAAAGATGGGGTACAAATTTTAAAAATAAGAAAAAAGTAGCAGTGTGCTAAATATTTGTACTGATGATTAACTAGCAAACTTATTTCAAATGTAGTCCATGGCACAGGCAAAATAGTTAGACAAATCCAACTTTCTGTTTAGTTGTTGACAGCCTAAATGATAGGTCTATGAGAAGAAATTTCATACTGTTAATGAAAGCTCTTGCCAACTAAAAAGAAATGTCATTTTCAAAGTTTTCTACGAACATTATTTATCACCTTTGTGCAGCAAGCAATTTCAAACAGAAAGAGGTACTACTCACTGAGAAATGAAGTGGTTGAATCCTCTGGACCAGTTTTCTGGTTGGAACAAAGTAGGAGGGGGATTCCTGAAAAATACAAACATACAAGAATCACTGAAATAAATCAAGCCCGTCATCCAATAGACTGTGGTGTCTGCCACTATGCAGAGTTGGAATGACAGTTCTAATAGATTACTCCAGTTGTTTGCCAATTGCTGCCAGGTTTCATTGCTATAGCAGTCCATGCCATTGAACTCTCCCATTACTCTGGAAGGACACATGCCTTGTCCTCCAAGGCATGTTCTCTTGGATGCAGTGTATATAGGACTACAGTGTTGAGGTCAATAAAATAAAGCATATGTTGTGATGCAGAATTGTAGCCAGTGGGTTGGATCTAAAAATCCCCTTGCCCTGAAGGAAGAAATCTTCTCCAGTAGAAGTAATTCTTCCATTAGAAAAACACCACCAGAGGAAGGGGACCTTCAGATTCAGGATACAGAATTTGTCTCTGGACAAATTTGGCAGTTTTTTCCTCATGTTTTACAGTCAAAATATTTCTCCTAAGACTTAAGTAGTGTCTGTAAGAACTTTAAACTGAAATATGCTAATATTTTTGGTCTTTCAGTCCCACTCCTTTTGCCCTCATCTCTGTCCACCACTGAAAGGAGGCTGCCAAGATCCAAGATGGCATTCAGCCCTTGAGTTGAAAGATCTGCACTGCTGCTTTAGATTCACACACCAGTGTCAGTATTCCATGCAGGTGGGAAAACACTTGACAAGTTATGGCAAACCTACCAGAAAGTAAATAACACAGCAGCAATAGTATGCAGCTAAGCTTCAGAGCTTCTGTGCTTGCTGAGAAATGAAACACACACTGAATTCAGGACAATAACTGATAAGACCGTACTCTTTGAAAATAATTTGGAAAATTAAAAAAGCTAGAATTGCAAATACAGCATAAATTGGAGCAATGTAAATGAGCGAAAGCCACTGGGGTTTCAATTTCCTCCCATCCGTGTGTGTGTGAGAATGTGCACACATAATCAAACAAATCAAAACATAGTGAAGACATTACGGTTCTGTAATAAATGGCCCATTTCCGTTCATCTGTATCTATTCAAAACCATTTCAACTATCCCATTTCATTGCAGTTTGTCATGTTATCTGAGCTGAAAAATGTTATTACTTTTCTCTTTTGGTATAATACCAGCACAAAATGAGAAGAAAAATCCAAAATACTTGCAGGATATGCATCATTTATCACATTCACTATTAGGAAGTAATGTGATGGGTTATATTCACTGACATTAATGCTTAGTCCCATGTTCCATTAAATAGGTTCCTGTCGCCACCTGCCTTAGAGAACCAGTTGCAGCACATACAAATCCTGTCTGTATTCAGAAAGCAGTGCATGCAGGGAAAAATCCTCTTGCTTCTGCCCCCAAAATCCTGTTTCGGGGCCAGAAGACTGTCAGATGCACTGAGAAGCCAAGCCAGAATCATGAGGTCCCACGGGGCCTTCATATCCCCTGTCCTCTGCCAGGGTGGAACCTGGAGTAGCAGGGGAACATGGTAATCAGTCTTGTACCAGAATAGATCATTGTTCCAACTAGCCCAGTAGTGTGCACTGGCTAGCAGTGGCTTTCCAAGGTTTCAGGCATGTGTTTTTCCAGACCCACCTGAGTTGCCAGGTGTCAGGAGCCTGGGTCCCCCCTTCTTTGGCAAAAGTTTTTTCTTTCCAGTGCATATCCAGCAAGCTATAGTCAGCAAAGCAAGTGTATCTGAGCATGCACAGAGCAGGTTGTTAAACCCAGAGTAGAAACTATTTCTGAGAACTCTCCTTTTGAGTAACTCTGAATCCCACCCCTCTAGGCATGCCCCTCTGGAGACAGGCGAGTCTCCTGGTTGTACACAGGCCCCCAGCTGGCGAGCGCTTCTCTCCCAAAGCCACGTCATGAGATCAAGGATCAGATGAGGCTCCTCTGGCTCCTCTCGCATGTCCGCTCCTGGCACTTCCAGGGCCTGTTGGTTCCCAGGGTTGAGCACCTGGAAACAGCAGCCTTGAGATAAGCTCTCCCTCCTGCACCATCTCCACATCTGCAGAGCTCCTTTCCCAGGCTTCACCATCCTCATCCAAAGAGTCTGTGCCACCCTGACCTAGAAACATGAGCCAAGAGCAACTGCCTCTTTCATTCCCAGCACAAGGGATCGCACCTGGGACATTTGGCATGTACTCTGCCTCTGTGGCTCTTGCCATCCTCTGGCCATCCACATTAGAAACCTCTCTCCCCTGGAAAGCTAACAGCGACATAAAGGCGCCAGAGATGTCATCTGTGTTTTTCCTTGACTGAAGAGTGTCTTCCATCCTATGTACGCATTTGTTTACAGTACAAGAACGGCTAAATCAGAGAGTTCTGCAACAACTTGCTTGCTTATTTAAGTCTTTATAGACCATTCATTAGTGGCTAGTTTTCATGTCCCAGGTTGCTTTAGAGATTGAACAGGCATTTGGCTGAATGCAGTTACAATGCTCCCCGAGTTCAGGGCTGTAAATATGTTCCATTTAGGCTGGTGAGACATCACAGGATATGATGTCACATATAAATCACCTCCTATATTATTAAAGGGTACAGTTTTGTTCTTCATTATTTCCAGAGCCCTCTTAAGGCACTCTCTTTCTCCTGCGAATAACAAATGTATGAGGGAGGGTGAGAAGAGGGTGTTTGGCCAAGCCCTGCCCCCTCCAGCATGTCACCTTCCTCTCCAGAAGATGAAGAAAAAAATACCTTAATTAGGAAGTCTGCTTTACTCATAGAGGCTTCTTGCACAATTTCAAGACCACTTTTGAACCCACTTCAGAAGTTTGCCCTTCCACTGCTGCAGGGCTCCTACACACACTTGTTAATTGGTTGTTAGTTTACTGTTTCATTGCAGAATTGAGATTTAAGGTTTTCTTTTCTTGCTTTTCTGCTACATAACCTGTAGGAGGCACTGTAGTGTAGTTCAATAGCACAATTACACAAGGAAATTGCATTTCCTTTGGCAATTCCTTTAGAATTAAATGCCATACAGCTGCTCCTCTAAAAATACTGAAAATGTTGGTTAGACTGAGAAGTGAACCTGGGAAATCACAGCATTGTTTAAAGAAACTGTAAACAACCATGAGTAGGAAATGACAAGCACACAGTAGATGCCTTGTGTAGAAAAGCCCATACAGAACACGACATCATCAGAAAATGGGGGCTGTCCTTCACTGGAATCTGCAAATCTCCCACATACAGAACATCATTTTATGCTTCATTCTTGATGTTGCATCACGTGACAGCTCAGATGTCATCTTCCTAGGTATGGAAACCCTTGACATACATAGCCAGCCCATCACATAGTAACTATAGGCTTTTGGAGTGATATTTTGGGCAACCAGTCAAACTCTATAGACATAGCTTTGTGATTACAGGTTCTGCATAAGACTCCAATGCCTTTGGCCATATGTTGTGAAGGTAAAACCCACATAAGGCCCATGTAAGCTACCTACTAAGAGGAAGAGGTTAGGATATAAATATAACAACAACTACTTTACTGCCATAATAATAAGCATATTGCTGCATATTCTACTACAGGGTTTACACACATCTTCACCTAACATACATAAATTTCTCTTTACTACCTGGAAATGAGACTGTATACAGAGATAACCAAACCTCCCGGGGGGGGGGGGGGGTGAATTCACCTAGGAGACTTGCCATCTTTCTGGTTTGTTTTTCATTGACTGGCAAAGAAGAATATGTGAAGAACAAAAACAGTATTTACTTTGAGTAAGTGGATGGCATGAATCCGTGACAACAGATCTACCAGTGAATTTTGGGTGGCCCTGATGGTTATGTGATATTAGCTATAGAAGCCAAAGGTCCCCAGATGGTGCCCTTGGGGCAGGGGGAGTTGTCCAACCAGAGCGATCAAGTTTAATGGTAGTTTTGGCATGTAGTCACAGCTCTCTGCTAACACTGAATACACCAAGTTTCCCTTAACCCACTTCTCTGTCTTCCCAGAAGAAAGAGAATCAAGCAGAGGAAGGAGGGAAATTTAATACTTATGACCAAAGAAATGTGTCTTATTTTTGGCAGTAGTTTGGGATCCTTGTTACACCTCCTTGGGTATGTACCGAACTGGAAACCTTGTAATCTATTGAGTGTTATGTGTTCTCTGTCATTGAGCCTGCCTCCAAAGTCACAGCTGGTGAAACCAAATGGGTCATTTTTTCACCATCAAGACCAGAGCCACGGTTCAGTGGACACCATTTCTCCTGTACGTTAAGCTGTGCACCTAATTACAGATCACAGTTAATAGATTTACACTGGGCAACATTGGAGGGGGGAGTCACTGCATTGATCTAGAATATTTTGTTGATAGTGAGCTTTTATGGAGGTGGGGGATGCATAAACATAACAATATGCAAAATATTTGAGAAGCAAAGGCATATGTTCTTATTTCTAATATTGTTTGTCAAGAAAAAACAGGCTGTGACTCTAAATGAACAGATGCATTATCAGAGGCTGACATGTTGTTTTCAATGGGGGGCAGGGAGGGGGAATTAGCTGCTGAATGTCAACACCTGCCACTGGGAACTAACTCAAACATGCAGAAGAGCCAGGTAGATGCCTGTTGTGAATTCGCTTAGAGGGGTTTCAAATAAAGCAACCAGAGATGCTCCATATGTCAACAATTACAAGATCTTAAAATATATCCCACTTGTTCTTAATACTTCTGCAAACAGAAACATACTTGTTTCTTAAAGCTAAATAAGGTTCCCTTTTTAAAGAAAAGAAGGGAGAAGTCTAACGATGTGTAATAATGAGATTCCAGTACACATGGCTGCATAATTGCTTGCATTAAGAAACATAAACTCTTAAATGGAATTTCATACTCCATATGTTCTCGGATAAAACATACTGATCCAGATTTGCTAATTTAAATGCTCCTGCACAAATGTCAATTTTATCTCTCTGTGGCTGGTGGCCAAGAGACAACTGTTGGGTATACCTGTCTATGTTACCTATCGGTCTAGCAGTATCAGGACCAGTGTCAAGTTAGGCATGGTTGGACCCCTGCTGAGGGCCCACAGCCCACCAGGGCTTCATTGAAAAGAGCCCCCTGGGATTGTCTCCCTGCTTCACCATTCTAGCCCACTTGTTCTCCTGCTCTGGCCCAGACAGGGGTGGTGGTGATGATGCGTAGCAGTAGATGCCGTGGTTCATTAGCTCCCTGGCTCTCTGCCTATCGAGCAAGCAAGTGGTAGCAATGCTGAGAAGGAAGATGAGGAGCAATAGCCTTTGGTGACAATGGCAATGGGGCAGCAGACACACTGAGGAAGAAGGGCCATCACAGGTCTCTTGTCCAAGGGTTCTTCAGAGCCCAAAGACTGCACTGATCCAGGGACAAGAAAAAGATCTGTCAGCAGAATGTACTTGCATTTAATGCACATAGGATCAAGTAGTTAGAAGTAAAATAGCTGTTTTGTCAGGCATGGAAATAGACAGATGAGGGCTAGAGGAGGAGAAAAGCCAGTACAATGCTGTATCATAAATAGGCTTCCTCGTTCCTTTTCTGTGCACAGAGCCCCACTATCCAATGAGCTGAATAGGGAGGCCAAGAAAGACTCCATTTTGTACTGAAAGTCTGCAGCTGACTGCTGGATACAGATTTCCTGTAAATCCTTCTCAGAAACAGAAACTTCACTCTCTTATCCAAGCAGTTAAGGCAGGATCTCTTTACCAGATAATGCAGGTTGATTTAAAAGTCGCAAGCATGCCATTGAAAATATATATATACATTTCTAATAGGCAATAATATCTGCACATCTGCACCACGGACTTCACTCTCACATCTACTTATGTGATGAAGTCAGTTAGATTTTATATCTGTACCTGTCACTTCCAAACAAATACTCTCTACATTAAGAGAATGTTCCTGGTGGTGATTGTAAGGTCCCAATAGGATTAGATGGCAAATTTAAATTGAATGTTCATAAACAGAACACAGAAACAAGGCTTATGCTTGTTCACAATAGAAAAAGAAATCCTAGAGTATCTCTTTAATGAAACATACATGGAAGTTGATCAATAGAAAATGTTAAACAGTGCAAGATACTGGGCTGGTTTGCATGACATGACAGCCTACCAGCTTGTTTTAGGGTTATTAAGGGTTGTCTGACTCTCAACCCCTGCCACCAAGGTTCATATGGCACGGCAACCCATGTCAAACCAAGCAACTGTGGGCGTCATGCAAAAATGGTGCCCTCAAGTGCTGTCATGATGCAATCCTGCCCCCCATGGGTTAATTAACCCATGGTGAACTCCTGTATTGTGTGAACCAGGTCACTGCCTTTGAAAAATAATTTTATATCCATTATTGACCTGATATTAATAGCACATATAAATAACCCAAAATAAATGTGCAAAAGTCTTGGTTATATGTGCAAACTGGTACACTGTGCAACATAAATACGATTGTGGTCACATATGTAGTTCTGGATAAAAATCAATGGGAAGCCAAGCTATTTCTTCTGCCTGTGGCAGAAGTTAACCCTGTAATGTCTATAATGTTGTTACTCTTACTAAGAGAACACATTATTAGTAAAAAAAACCACTTCCTTCACTGGCAAGGGGCAATGGAGGGTGGTAATGTAATTTCTGCATAAGCCTCTTCATGCCATCTTACATTTTCAGTCTATCAAGTTCATGGTACTTTTCTAAGCTTTGTCTAAACTTGTCCATTTTGGCTGTCATTGGGATCCACCTTTCTTCACTCTGCAGGACTTGATAACTTTAGATCCCTTTGAATTACCTGTCACCATGCATATCTGCCCTGATACACTGCAAAGACTTTGTGTACTGTTTGGTGGGTATTCCCCAAGGAATGTGAACTTCTTGAAAACCGATGCTGGCTTGACAGATTGGCTTAGCACAGTTCATATACGAGTGCTGCAATCCTTTCAGGTGGCACCACGGCCGCGGTGTTGTCAGGGACATGTGCTGGAGCTCCTTCCTGTGCTACAAACACAGCTGTGATATCTCGGAATATACACCATATGTTCCAAATGAACATGTTGCCTTTCCCAACAAATAATATCAGATCATGTCCTGGTGGTGTGAACTTGGCTGCTAAACAATGCCCTGTGTCCAGATAGATAGCTGGGCCAGGCATGATGACCCTCTCTTGGTTGTTTGAGTGCATGCTGTTTGGGTAGCTCAAATTTTATTCTGGGATGCACATTTCCATTGCTGTATTCATTTCTGTGTAGACTAGATATTACTGAGGGGGACGCTTGAAAGTGTCTTCCAACAAGTGTTGGAACAATCTGAAGATTTCAGCCTATGATTTGGAGGAAGCTAAATCTTATTCTGGGGTGTGGCCTTGCACAGAAGTCACTCTCTCTGAGGCTTTGGATATATTATTTGGGATGGCTCAAGCTTAGTTTGGGATGCACACATATTTGATCCATATTTATTTTTAGTGTACTACATCTTACCGGCATGGGGACAATCTGTGTGGCTATGACCTCTGATCAAATGAAGAACTGGACTGGGTGTGATGCTGCAGCATCTTGTATAGGCCACTCTTTGGGGGCTTTGGTGTAGGGTTTGCAGTGCCCCAAACTGCACCTGAGGTGAATATCCCCACTTCCTTACTCGTTTTAAGTATGCCAGGCAATATTGGCACAAGGTGCCATTCGTAACCGTGTCTTGTACCCCAAAGAAGCATTGGGCCAGATGTGGCATTGCCTAGAAGCAGATGCTAGGCGCATGGTTTGGAAAGACCAAGGGTTAGCTCTGTATACATGTACACACAGTTTGCCTGTTTTTTGGCATGGTATCCAGAGTATTTGGTGCCCAAACCAAGCACTGGTAGATGAGCAGTGCTATGACATTTTGTATAGCTCAATGTAGTGGAGGTGTTGGAGGTGCAAAGCACTGTGAGACTTGGGCTATCCCCTGCCAGTGTTGTCAGCCTGCTGCATGGCAGGCCAGACTCTGGCTAAGTTTGAGACAAATTACAATTACTCACAAAGCCACATATGGTAGGGATGTTTGTCCTGGTTAGTGGACTAAAAGATGGGACTTATTTGTCGGTCTCCTGTCCTCCACAAGAGGTTGCTTCCTGCGATTCATTGTAAAACATATTAGCATGGGTCAGTGTATATCTGTGCTAGGTTGCATACTTTTAACCTGAATGGCACCCTTTTAGGCTTAACTGCTCTGCTACATCCCTTACTGTTTTGTCCAGTCTGGTATTAAAATGCCACAATCAATGAAGCTTCCAACAACCCCCTTGAGTGGCATGTCCTCAGTCTAACAGGTCACACCACTGGGAAATTGTGGTTTGCTTCATTTCATCCCATAACTCTAGATTATACACACCCTGAGGGCTCTGTCAGCCTCAGAGATGGAACACACAAGGAAAAGGTAGTGATATGTTTGCACCAATCTCCTTCCTCTCTTCACTGGTTAGCAGTAAGGAGGACAGGGACTTTCAGTTGCCTGAACAAGAAGATTGTCTGTCATCTTCAGTATTTCATAGAGGCATTGCAAGTAAATCATATGCCAAGACTCACTCTAAGCCATCCCTAAGTGAAACTTGCCAAGTAAAAGAGAAGTAAAAAATGTTCAGCTTATTAAAACTAGAAATCAGATTTTTTTTCTTTTTGAAAAATATTAACAATTACAGAATTAGCGGGGTGAGAATTCTACAACTAGGAATGACAGCCAAATATTTCCTCATTATTTATATTAAACTACTGTCTCTGAGAACATAGCAATATATTTTAAGTAAGTGGGAGGCTTATACATAGATTCTGTTGATTTTGGAACTACATATCTGAATGCATTTACAACCAAAATGTGTACTTGGTTACATGCATACATACAGTTATAAAATAGATCCATGATCCAACAGGCTATTTCTGGTTCTTAGTATCCATGTTCCTAATTTGGAGGGAAAAAATAATTGACCTTTGCTTTCCTTTCCTAAAATGAAGGGCAATTATTATTTGCTAGGCATTTTGTCAATCAAGTCTGCATTGTTCTTCCTCTTTTAATGTGGGTGTGTTCCCAAAACCACCTTAGCAAAACAGTTTTTTAAAAAACAGATTAATTTAAAAAACACTTTTACAAAAGGATTTGACAGGAAAATGAAACAAAATCTTTCCAAAAGCTATACTTAAAAAGAGAAGGAGTGGGTGGAGAGAAGGAGAGAGGAAGGAATAGAGGACAGGATGCTAAACAGATTTTAAAAACAAATGTTTAATCAGGCCTTTCCTGGCAAGAATCCAGCATGCAGTTTTGACAGGTGCCATCCTGATGAGAAACAAACTATTCTGACAGATTATTCAGTTGCAAAATTATTCAGGAAACATTCTGATTTTCAAGAAGCAGTTTATAAATCACTGCATGAGTTCCTTAAAAAAGGGAGGTGGAAGAAGCAGCTGTATGGTAGCCTGAGGAGATACTTTTATATAGCAAACTGACAGTAACATTTAGGTTGCAGGCTATACATGCTCTTCAATCCACAATAAGATGTTGCTGTAATCAGGATACAGCATTAATTTGAAGGTTAAATCATCACCTATAGACCAATCTTCTGCAACCTGGTCCTCCAGATGTTTTGGACAACTTCTGCAATACTTGACCATTGGCCATGCTGGCTAGATCCAAGCTGAAGTCCACAACTTCAGATTGGAGAAACTTGGACAGTACCATTAAAAATGAAGCCCAGTCTTTAAAACACATAAGGAACAAGCCACATGGGGCACCACAGGTCTTTCTTCCAAGCAAATATAGAAACATAGAAACAGAGCGAGTCCAAAGGGGTCTCCCGGGCCATCTAGTCTGACCTCCGGCACCAGCCGGCTCCGCTCATGACATGCCCACCATGTGGCCGTCCAGCCTATCCTTGAACACCTGCACCGACGGGATCTCAATGACCTCTCGTGGAAGCCCATGCCACACCCTCGGGGTCCTAACTGTCAGGAAACGGTCAACTTGACATCATCTGAACCAAACTTTGAGGTTCCCTGAATAGCTGTGAAGAAAAAAAGTGTAAAGAAGCATTTCCTCTACCCTTCAAGACAGGTGCAAAAGAAGGGGTGAGATTTGGGCAGGTGCAAAATGAGGGGTGAGCACCTTGTGAAGGTTCTATGATTCTATATGCACACAGGCAGTCCTATGTGATACTGTGTGGAGAATTTAACAGTAATAAAGGCAAATTGAGAATTTCTCACATAACTATACTTAGGTTACCTGTAACTTCCAGGTAACACTGTAAACCTCATCAATGAATAGAACCATAGAGACATAGAAACATAGAGAGATTCAGAAGGGGCCTTCCGGGCCATCCAGTCCGACCCCAGCTCCAGCCAGCTCTGTTCATGACATGCTTACCATAGGAAGGTTTCAATTACTTACAAAAGATATAAGTAATATGTGAACTTAAAAAGAAAGGCTTGCATTGTAAGGACAACACACTGGGCACACCTAACCAGAAGTTTGTGTTTTTAGATGTAGTGGGCCTCACTTTGGCGTAAACAGGAATCATATTGCTTGGTAAGCCACTCTTTTTTGAAATACCATGTGGAAGTGACTGTTCTCAGGCAGAAAATGCACTCTGCTTGGTAACATCTGGCTTTGCTATTTTTCCTTGCAAGGTGTAGGCGACTGGATTCCGGGGAGTTTGACAACTACAAGGTTGTATTAGTCATGGGCATAGCCTAACAAGGCATCATTTGTGTTTGTCATTTTGCTTTCAGCTTTCAATTTTAGTTTCTAGTTACCTTTGGACAGGAGGGTAGAGAGAGAGAGAGAAGCTCGTTTTGCAAATACCTCAAGGTACAGTTGAATAAACCCCATTTGCTTTTCCAGACTTCAAGCTTCATAACACATATTTAACCTATTTCACTTTATGGTTTCCCATAAGGCATTCTACTTTTTCAAGAAATGAAGAGGCAACTGACATTAAACACTGTCTGTGGCAGCAAGGAAGTGACGTGAATGCTTTCTCTCTTATCATCAATCCATGTCTTCATTACAAATTTATGCATTGCTCTTTTATCCATTTATTACTATCCGCTCCCATGCAAAATATAAGCATGCCAAACAGCAGAGAAAGACAAATGGGTGAGACTAGTTTCTGTGCCTGGCTAAAATACACTGTTGCCCAGACAATGCTATCTCGCAGTAAGAATATTAGAATATTGCAATCCTGTCATTCAGTGATGCATGAAGCCTTCTTCAAATGCGATGAACTGCCTATGAGGGCAATACCCACATGCATGAAATTCCATCAAAGCCATGGCTAGAGAGCATCATGTATGAGACAACATATATGAAACATGTTTATGCTAGGAAGTCCTGACTGGGTGACACAACCTCATAGAAAGAAGCCACATCATAGTCTCCTCCTTTGCAAAATGTGGCCTCTAATGTATCAGAATGTTGTAGGAAGGAGACTCACCACAGCGGTGAGTTCTTACACCTCTGAGTTAACATCAAAGTGAGCCCTAAGACAGGAAAGCCATCAGATGAACATGCTGTATTTTTGAGCCTAAAAAAGCAATGTGTCAGCATCTAACATTGCCCATGACCCACCACTATGGGAAACTAGTGGTTGCTGCAGCAAAAATGAGCAGAAAGCCTTGTTTCTGGAATGAGGCAGGTCAGCGGAACTCTCAGAAGGCAGCTTTGCTGATGCATCCCATTCCAGAAATGAGAGTTTGCACTCATTTCCTGGGCTCTTTTAGGAAACACAGGTGCAACAGTAATAGAAAAGGTGCAGCATTCATTTGGATACTGTTCCTGATGCCAATCACTGATGATTTCACTTATTAACAGGAGCACAAACAGTTCAGACACTCAGAAATATCTTTTAGAGCTTACACAGGCATGTTTATCGCTACAGAATCAACTAATGACTTGCCCGTTCAAAGAAGCTATCATGGGTTAAACATCGCATGTAAAACTGTCATCTCACCTCAGGGGGCTTTTCGGGGGAATCATTC